GATGCATTATGCAATACTTATTTGACAAATTACTATTATGTGTTTTTGACATTAATATTAAAAATAGATCGGTTTACGATTCTCTTGACGATCCGGATAAAAGAAATAGGTTAATAGAGGTTAATTTTGCTTTCGTTTTATTACACTAAACATGGCGAAACTGAAACATACATTTATACATATCGCAACCTCTGTAATTTGCTGTGATAATAGCATAGACGCATTAAGATATGTTCTTATTAATTAATAGAATGTTACATTTACAATTTCACATGTAAAACACCCACCGTCTTGTCTTAGATGAGTTTTTCCCTCGAAAATTGCATGTCCACGCCTGAGTCAAAGACTGTGGGGTTGCCAGATATTCTAGGTTGCCTTGTCTTCTTTTCGGCCGACATCTATAAATAGCATAGACTGTATAAAAACAGGTAAATAGTCAATGAAACTATTGTAACATTCAGGAAAATACTGACAGACAACCTCAGGTTGACAGAAATATATATTTTTTGATTACTTTATTTATTAGAGTTTTAAACAGTAATTACAATAACTCTCACAATGAACAAAAAAAAAATTATTGCCCACATATTTCCCCTCATCCCTGCCCAATCACTGCAGAAAAAAAAGAGTCAATACAATATATAAGTGATCAATACAAACACAAAAGATACAGATGTCCCTTGTTTATCCAGCATATCAGTTGTTGTTCCTAGCAGAAGGCTGAACTAAGAGGAGGGGGAATCCAATAAATATATAAACCAATAAATAATCCAATAATCAAATCAATCAATCAATCAATAAGTAAATAAGGATTTTTCAAAGGTTGAAAACCAAGAAGCGAAGTAATAACATTAACAATATTAATAATATTGCAAGGTAAAGCAAGCAAACAAATAAGTATGCATATACTGTATACAGATTCATAAACTAATTGACAATAACAATGGGGGGGGGGGGCTAGCTAATTTTAATTTTAATTTAATTTTAAGTTCAGCAGTTTTATTTTGTATTTTGAATTTTTTATTTATTTTTGTTCTTTTTTTCTAGTTGTCTAGAAATAAACGTGTTGCTTATCGAGCAGTGGCCTGTTATGGATTTGGATAGCATTGGTAAGTTTGGTCCCTCTTTGCACAAGTTAAGGTCAACTATATTTTTCTTTTTTATAGTACAATTATCAAAAAAGATCCCATCAATTTA